TTTTCCACTTTTCCCCATAATGACAATAGACATCTTCTTATACTCAGGTAGGTATAAGTTTCATTATTATTTACCAATCCATAAAGTTTCTTTATGTTACTTAGGTTCTCATACCCAACCACTGCCCAACCCTGTCTGCAGAAAAATACAACAATCTGATATTATAGACAAATTTATATATGCTGGAATGTATTAGGATAGAACCAGAGTTTAGAGACATCTGGCCTTCATTCATCTTGAATATATGTTTAAATTTATCTGTTTTGTTTCCCATGATAATTGTTCATTCTTAATATTAAATAGTGTAGCATTGTATAGCTACACGGCAAGTTTTATAATTTAGTTTATTTCATGTGTATATATGCTTGCCTACATATAGGTATGAAGAACGCATGCATGCCTGTTGCCCATGGAAGCCAAGAGAGGATATTGAATCCCTTGGCACTGGAGTTAACAGTTGAAAACTGCCATGCTGGTTTTGGGAAATGAGTCTTTGCCTGTTGCCTGTTGCTGAGGTTGTTTTCAATTTCAGTGTCTTGTATATAAAGCTGTTGTGAACTGAAATAAATAAGTCTTTAAAAGAAAATATGTCCTCTTTCTCCAGGTTATATATTTGGGTTGTGATGGCCAGATGACAATTAACATATGAAGAAACAGAAAAAGATTTTTCCAAGTTATCATCCTGTTTTCCATGGCCACCAGCAGTGGGTATGGGAGAGTCATCCTCCACAAACTTGCCAGGTCTTTGTATGACAAGTCTTTATTTCTGAGTATTTTATGGGGTTGTCTAGAGTCCCCTCAGAGTCACCTGTTGATGGAGGAAGGTCATTGGCTAATAAAGGAACTGCCTTGGCCCATTTTATTGGTTAGAAGATAGGTGGGAGGAGTAAACAGAACAGAACGATGGGAGGAAGAGGAAGTGAGCTCAGACTCCACAGCTCTCCTCTCGGGGGCAGAAGCCTCAGAGAGACGCCATGCCCCGCTCCTGGGCAGACACACGAGATGAAGCTCCGTCCTAGAATCTACCCGGTAAGACCGGTGCTCACAGATTATTAGAGATGGGTTGATCGGGATAACAGAATTAGCCAGTAAGGGCTAGGACTAAAGGGCCAAGCAGTGTTTAAATGAATACAGTTTCCGTGTAATTATTTTGGGTAAAGCTAGCCGTGGGGGCGGCCGGGTGCCGGGGACGCAGCCCCGCCGCCCTTATTACTACAACCTGTCTCTCTTCCCTAAGTGTTAAGGATGTTGCTGCTGTATGTTTCTCTGAGTGGAGCATCTACTCACCCTTCTGGTCAAGTTTTATTTCCTGAATTGTCTATTTTCTTAGTGTCTCCTTTAGAAGCTTTCTGTATTCTGGATACAAGAAGACTGTCATCTGATATACAATTTCCCACATTCATTTTCCCAGGTAAGAAAAATATGTTTCTATCATATATTTGGAAGAATAGATATTTTCTCACTTTATGGAATTCGTAACACTCCAGTTCTTCATTTAATGAAAGGGGGTTTGCCATATCTAAGAAGTTTGTTTGTAATTCATGAACCTGAACATCCAATTGTATTCTGCTACAAGATTCATGTTTAGGTTGTAATTTGGACTTCTTTTAGGTTTATTTTCCCTATTTACTGAGGGTCTGCCTGTATGTCTCTGTGTGCCAAATACACGTTTGAGTGCAGATGCCCACTGAGACCAGAAGAGACTGTCAGTTCCCCTGGATCTGGAGTTACAGACATCTGTCACCCACCATATGGGTGCTGGAAACTGAAGTCAGGTCCTCTGCAATAGCAAAAGGCACTCTTAACTTTTGAGATGTCTCTCTAGTCCTGTGTAGATCATTTGTTCATTCTCGATTGACTTTTGTATCCTGCGATATACGATAGTCTATATTTATATTTGTGCATGGGGAGGTCTGCTTGTCCCAAAATAAGACAGAAAGACAGGGCATTGAAGGGGATATGAGAGGGAACACACAGCCCCTCACCCTGTAATCGTTTTTACATTTTTCTGACATTCAAGAAACCTCAAGCCAACTGATAGAGCCAAAATTACCTGCAGATATGATGCAACTATTCCTAAAGACATCCCAAATAATGTTTAAAAATAACAACAAATAAACTAGAGTCTGAAGATAGGGTTCATTCTTTAATATCACTGGATGTCTTCCAGAGGATCCAGGGTTGATACCCAACACCTACCCGATGGTTCACAACTGTCTGTAACTCCAGTTCCGAGAGATCTCATAAAGTCTGGCACCCTCTGTGGGCATTATTAGGTACTCACGTGGTGCACAGACTTCCCTGTGGAAAAGCATTCAAAAGCAGAAAATAAAAAACGCAGTTATGCTTACTTAGGGGCAGAATACTTGTAGCCTTGAGATGGATGATGATAGCACTCTATTCTCTCACCTAAGTCACATAATCACCTTACAATTTAATTTACTGAAAGAAACTTTAAAAGGAATAAGCACATTCAAAAGCATTGCTTTTTATTTTCATTTTTTACTTTTTAATAACCTATTGAATATTTTTTTCCTAATGGAAAAATAGAACCCATTTAAAGAGTAAAAATATTCTTATAGTTAATTTAAAAACCTGAATATAGGCTTTAATGTAATTTAATCTTGAAATTTTCTGAATTACATTCTTTCAGCAATGTAACTTGAGAGCCATAAAAATCCTCCCATTTCTCCCTCTCCCACTGTACCTCCCTCCCTGCCCACCTCACATACCCTTTGCAATGACACCTAATCTCAAGTCTCTCTCCAGTCCACTCTCAGGCCATCATGCAGGAGCCATCCTAATTCTGTGTGAGCTTCTATCCACAGGATTAATAAGCTCACAACCTTTGCTTCATCCTGGCTGTTTCTGAAATTCTTTACTGCATCCTAGATTCATCTTTACCAGGGTCAAGGTCATCAAAGGGACAGGGTTATCCTCAGGCTGCTGGTCACTGTGCTGGGCTGTACCTCCCTACCACCTATGGGGAGTCCCAGAAAAACTCGGTGAAGCACAAATGTCTGCTTCACTTAAGTGTCTTTGAGTCTTTGCTAAAGGTGTCCCCTCACACATGTGTGACTCTTCTGTCCCCTTCATATTCTTTTCTGTCTTATTGTCTTTTCCAATCAGGCACGCTGTCTACAATTCTCTAGGTTTATAAGGAGTTTGGAAGTCAGGTGTTCATCCTCCAAGTTTGTCCCTTTATAAGGTTGTTTCAAGCTGGGGTTCTCCATATTCACTGTGAATTTCAGGATAAGCCCATTAGTTTATGAAAAGTCTGTTAGAGTTCTGTTGGTATTGCACTGGATCTATAGGACTGTATGAGGAGAACAGACACCTGTATCTTCCATTGCATGAAGATGATTGTAGCGTGAGTTCTAATTGGTCTTAATAATAAAATCTGGAGTCAGATATTAAGTGGTTGGAGCTATAAGATCAGAACAGCAGAGCAGCCAGACACTAGTTCTTTCCTCGACAAAATCCTCAGACCAAATGGAGCATCCTGTCTCTACAAGACCTCAGACTGACTGCCTGGATCTCCTATCTCCTCCCACCTTATATTCCTCTCTTTTCCCAGCCACATTCCTTTCATTCTCCATCTCCCTCGTGCTGGGATTAAAGGTGTGTGACACCAAAGCACTTTGATGAAAGATGTGAGTCACCACTGCCTGACTCTGTTTCTCTTTTAGACTGGATCAATCTAATGTAGCCCAGGATGGCCTTGAACTCACAGAGTTCTGTTTCTTAAGTGTTGGGAAAGGTGAGTTCCAACACTGCCTGTCTTCTGTGGCTAACTAGTGGCTATCTGCACACACTGATTCTCAGGCAAGCTTTATTGTCATGGAAGAAACAAAATATCGCCACAGTCGATGAATCTATACATCTTTACTCTCAGCAATGAGTTGTCCCATTCAGTGTCTAGGCACTACAGAGAAGTGGGCAGAGTTTTCCTAATTATTTCATATTTCCTGATGCTATCTCCAGTGACAGGGATTTTAAATTACAGCTTCCACACATTCATTTCACTGTGGTCAGCTGTCTGTGTTAAATTTAGACAGAGTTATTGATGAATCTTTTAGGTTAAAATATTTAATTACATTCTCTATGATGAAAATGTCTTTGATGCTAACATATATTTGCTGTGTTTAAAATTCAGTACTTTGAAGTTGCAAGTGAATTATGAGAACAGAAACAAATGTCCAACACCCAGTTTGGGGGAAAATTTCTAAGGCAGCCACAGGTCAAAGGTTTGCCCCAATGGCATCTTTGGAATCATAGAGATAGTCCTTTACCTCCCAGCTAGCTCCATCAGGGAGGTGCTGAGATCACGGTGGAGAGAAAGAAGGGGATACATGTGAAGACTTAGGTATGTATGTGTAACTCCAGAAAGGTTTGTATTATGAAGAATACTTAGGTAATTATTTTCAAAATATCTAATATTATTTTCCCCAACACAAAAAGGAAAAGTTTAGTACTCGTGTGTTTTCCCTCTTGTTTTCCCATCCAGTCATGCAGATTTTAGCAGTGTTGCTGTGGACTTGTACAGAGGGGGTGTTTTATGTATGGTTCTTTCCATGTTTATTATAACCATGACGCCTGCTAAGTGTTGCTCTGATGCCTACTTCCCTGTGCAGTTACTAGTATACAAGAATTGCTTGTCTTTGAGTAATGTTTCTCTTTTATCTTTTGTTTATTAATGGATTTACTCATGCGTTTGTGTCTACTCAGAAACACCCATTTCTTAAAGGAGTACTCCTTTGTCATCATTATATACTGTGATGCTTAAATTATCCCATAACATGCCCGTGGGAGTACATTCAAGTGGACCTGCTCTTCATTTGTTATCTGTCTAGAATTCTGGATTATCTGACCACCCCTGGGAAGAAAGCCAAAAGCAAATGCCTCTTGTCAGTGATACTTTGTGTCCTCTGCCTATCAATGTCAGGTCTCTTCTATGAGAAGAACAGCAGGACTGCAGAGAGAACACGCAGAATGTTGACAAGAAGCTGACATGAGCCCTTGTTTCCAGTATGTGAGTCATCATTGCCACCAATGTGAGTGTGTGTGTGTGTGTGTGTGTGTGTGTGTGTGTGTGTGTGTGTGATGTGTACATGGCTGTGTATAAAGGGTCTGTGAAATGAACAAAGAAGAGGAAGATGTCACTGCACATCTTTGACTTGACTGGATGCAGACAGACTACTCCATCCTTATATTCAGTACAGTAGAGTGACAAGATCATGTGGGACTCACCAGGTGAGTCATTTCCTTTTCTCTTCCCATCTGTGTGACCAGCAGCTGGTCTGTGATGCCTTGTAGGAACACATCCTGTTGAGCAGGTCGCAGCAAAGAGCAGCACACTGTAAAACAATGGCATTCATAGACTCCCCAGATGACTGAACCCTGTAGGGGTCCCTTTAAATGACCAGGACTGAAATGGAAGCAATCCCCATCAGACCATTTCCCCGAATGGGCCATGCATGACTGCATCACATTTGGAGGGATTGCTTATTAAGATGGTAGAAATCTGAATCCACAACAGACACTGAATCATGCTTATTAAAATGGTAGATATCTGGGTCCACAGCAGACACTGAATCAATACCTGTGATGTGGGGGGTGGCATAGCCACTTCTTTCTGATGGCTGTCCATGTTAAAACGTATTGCTAGTGTGTTTGATATTCTGTCTTCCAGGATATGAAGTCACAGACTGCTTAAGTCCATACCATGTTCTCTTGTTACTGCCTTAAATACCAGTGTGTTGCATGGCATATCAAATAGACAAATCAATTCCTTCGTGTACGTTTATCCAGATATTCACATAGTGGCCTCTTTAGTGAACACCTTGTTCCTGCACTGTGAAGACTAGCACGGGTCCTTGTATATCGTGTTAGATAGGCAAACTGTCAGTAAGCAGAAGAAATCAGTAATCACAGCAATTCCGTGTATTATTGGCGCTTTAAAGATCATAAAGGGGACAGGAAACAGTTGTGATGGGGATTGTCGTATGTGATGTTACCCCCAAAGGTTTCAGAAGTTAGCATGTGATCTGAGTCCTGAATGGCAAATAGAAGCAAGACCGTGCACAAACCAAGTTGTGGGCGTGCTTGCTTCCATGGAGAACAGTGGATCTAAGAGCAGAGAACAAGGCTAGTTGCCAGAACCTTGAAGACAACGTGGACACTGCTTGGGGATAGGACAGAAAGGAAAATGTTGTCATTGTCAGCTGTGTATGACATTTGGATTATATGATCTGTGTGGAAGGTGAGTTATGGAATTGTCATGATATGTTTCCTTTTGGTAGAAGGTGACTTGGCACTGAACAGAGAAAGGCCTGGGGAGGGCGGAATGAGGGAGTGTGTGGAGACAGTGGAGATGGTTCCGAAGACAGGGTAGGGATGGAGGTATGAAAGAGGGATGAAGCCATGCTGCAGTGATCAGCAGGAGAGCTGCCCTGTGCAGCCTTGTCTGGGAGAGGGCAGATAGCACCTGGATGCGCTGTGCATTTTCCTTGTGGAGACATTGCTCTAACATCTCTGGATTTGTCTGACCACATGGAGACACGGTGCTTCCATTTACTGACATCAGTTATTCCACGTGTATTGACACAGGATAGTTTGAATACCCAATATAGTCATTGTAAAACTTAACAATTTGATAACGAGTTGCTGATGAATAATTTTCAGATGTAAAGTTTTCTAAGTATAGCTAACTGTAGCATAATTTCCAACAGAATAAGAATCTAACATTTGTCTCTTAAAAAGTGAACCCAAAATTCAGTGTATTTTTGAAAATGGCTGTTCTACAGCATGTACTGCTCTTGGCAGGTTTACAGATGAAGGAAGTGAGTAGGTTTTAGGCAGAGTTGAAGTGAAATCAGTCTCTAAATTCTGCAGCAACTGTTTGTCCCTATTTCTCCAGAAGAAGACTACCTTTAGAAATGCTTATTTTTGACAGCTGGGCATGGAGCAAACATTCACAAGACAGAGGCAGTTGGATGTCTGAGTTCAAGGCCAGCCTGTAATTCCAATTGCATATATCAACATTAGTCTGTCACATATGCAGGAACTTGTGACTGGTATTTAAAGCAGGTATTATCACTAAAGACCCCCAACTTAGCACATGAGCAGTGTCTGCAGAGGGTTTCACTCTGTTTTCTCCTCACAGAAATTCCCAGCCTTTGTTTGGAAAATGGGTCCAGGACATCCTGGCTCAGGGAACCAAAGTTGCTGGGGCTAGGAAGGTCCCACATCTCTCTGACTCTAGAAAAGTGGTTCAACCAGTGACTTGACCCCTTCAGCAAACGTCTATCTCCAAAACTATTTCCATTGTGATTCTTACCTGTAACAACTTTACAGCGATGATGAAGCAACAGAAATAATTTTCTGGTTGGGATCACCACGCATGAGGGACTGTATTAAGAGTCACGTCACAGCATAGGAAGGCTGAGAACCATTGCTGTACAGACATCCAAACGCAGAATCCGGCTTCTCAGATATCTCTGGGATCCCTTCATCATTGTCCCCATACTCCTAGGGAGGCACAGCCCCACATCAGGACACATACACTCACATCTCCGTGCAAGGGAAATCCTGTTCTTCTTTCTCCGTCATTTCTATTTCCACACACTATGCTATATTTCCAAATTTTCTTTTTTTATGTCTTCAGCACTGAGCTTAAGGATGTGTCTGATTCTTTGACCAACCTTTTTCCTGTTTTGTGATTCTTCTGCAGGGTCTGGGTCGTTGGCTGTGCACACACATCCACAGACAGTACAACAACAGCCTCTAGTCCCTTGTTGCTGACCTTTGGGAAGCTGGGCATGTAAGGTAGGTTTGCTGGCAGGAGACTTTCTCTCAGGAACAGGATGTCCTTGTCAGAGGCTGGACTCGAGGATGCTACAGCACTTAGATCTGCCCAGCATCTGACGGCCCGGTCCCAAGCTCTTCACAAATGTGGTGGGAGCACATTTGGGGATTTTTAAAAGTGGTCCCTAGACACTGCTATTGCTCCCCTGGCTGTGCACACATTCCCAGCTATATTCTTGATTTCTCTGGTAGCTGTTCAATGAGAATGCTATACCATGAAAAGAAATCACTGGTGAATTTAAAAAGCCACAGTATGGGGACTGGCGACATAGCTCTCGTGGCAGAATGATTGCCTAGAATGGAAATTGCTCTGTGTTCTTTGACCCTCTGGGCATGTTCACCCTCACCTGTAATACCAGCACTCAAGGCGTAGAGGGAGGAGGAAAGAGACAAGAGAGTCATTACTGTTTATGAGAGTATGGCTCCCTGCCCCCATGGCAGATAGCTCACAACTGCCTTTAACTCTAGCCCCATCAGGAGTCAATGCCTCTGCCAATCATGTGCATACCACAGACAGACAGACAGACATAATTAAAAGTATAACTAAAATCTAAACAAGAAAAAAAAAAGAAGCATCAACTCCAGGTCATTGACCAAGGGGAAAACACAGTGGAATTTAAAATATGAACATTATAAATGGTAACGGAATCTAACAGTCTACAGTCTGGCAGGGGAGATGACTCAGTGGTTCAGAGTGCATTCTATTGTTGCTGAGGATCCAAGGTAGTTTCCAGCATCCATTTCCAACATCCTTGAAGGACCATACCTCAGCTCCAGGAAGGTATGACCTCTCCTGACCTTTGGAGGCATAGGAATTCATGTGTACATACACATAGGAATATACACAACGTAATTATTATTAAGTTATGTACATTTTAAAATTATGTACAAATTAAAATAATTGTTATGAAACAATGAAGAAAAATGGTCAAATGCCAGGCAATAATGAGAACAGTTTTCATCAGCGTTAGGTGGCAAATGCGTGCACTTCCAGCTATTTGAACACTGGGGTTACACGATCATTACTGCTAAGAAGTTTCAGAACAGCCTTAATAGCACAGTGAGGCCCTTCCTCAAAATGATAACCAAACAAAAACCAGAAATATCTCAGAAAATGTGAAATTTCTTAGATAAACAATCTTAGAGTACATGGTTTTTCAAGAGATGTGGATCATTATAAAATAAATTTTTGCAGGGAAATCAATGATAAAATTATTTATTTCGTGGGAATTCAACAATATACATGTAGAAATGGAATGAAAATGTTACTGGGCCGAGAAGAAAACAGTAGCATTAAGAATGTGTTTACATTAAAATGAATACTTGAGCTGGGGCAGTGTGGTAAGCTGGGAGGACCAGCAGCACTCTGAAGGCTGAGGGAGGAAGGGGAAGAGTCCCAGGCTGGGCTGGGCTGCTCTGAGACTCTGCACTAAACACACAAAATAGTTAGCAGGACTATTATCATTCCATTCACTGTGGGAAAGTTTCAGCTTAGTTCTGTCATGGGAAACCATCCTCTTTTCACTGGATGTTAGGCAGAGCCCTGTGTGTCCCTGGCAGACACATTAAAGATTACCATCCCCTAAATGGGGAAGTGACTTCCTCACCAACACATACAGCAAGGCGCACAGAAAATGGCGGCTGGGACTCTACTCAGATAGCTCACTCTCTGGAGATTTCCCTGCAGACAGCCCTGTGCCTTAGGGGTAGGAATAAGCCCAGCGACAGACACAGATTTCCTTATGGTAGTACATGTGCTTTCCTGTGGTGTTTGAAATTTCGTATCCAGGAAGGAAAGTACTTTAAAGTGTAAACTGAGAAAATTGCTTGTGCTCGGGTGGTAAAAGTGGGGCTGGGGAGACAGCTAAATCAATAAATTGCTGGCCTTGTGGGCATGAGGCCCTGAGTGTCATTCACAGAGAGCATCATCAAGAAAATGAAGTTAAACTACAGCAGGAAAAGTAGTAGGTGTGGTGGGACATGCTTGTGTGTGAAGGTGGAGGCAAGCCTATCCCTGGAGTGTGCTGCCCAGCCAACCCAGCCTGCCTTGCGTGTTCCAGGCCAGTGAGAAACCTTGTCTAAGAAAAACTTCAGGGGGATGGCGCCTGAGGTACAACACCGGAGGCTGCCTTCTGTCCCCTGACCACATGCATGTATGCATACAATTGCAGAAGCACACACATATGCACACGGGCACACAACGACACACTGGATAAACGATGTTTATACCTTCTGTACTTTAGAAGTAGTCATTGTGTTCCGTTTCTGGGCAATGAAGTAGAAGGACAAATGGAATCTACTCTCATGCTCTGTGCATGCCTGTGTGCATATGTGTGTGTGTGTTTGCACACAGAGCTCCACCATCTCTATCTAATGAGGCTGCTTTATGTTAGCCTTAGACTGGGATTGGTCTCCAATCTTGGGTTTACATTTGATATACCTAAGATGTCAAGGTTTATGTACCAGGAAAATATACTGAAGTGAAAAAACACTGCTTTATCTCCAGAGGTAAGGTCCCTTCAAGTCCAGGTCACAGCCAATGTTCCCTCCCACCCAAACATAGACGCCACTGGGCCCAAGACTCTCACTGATGTAGTCCCCATTATGGCCAGGAGGTGGCATTCAAACTACATGCCTACATTTATTTTTTTTAAAGGGGCTGATGTTTTATGGAATAGCAATGCGTTTTCAGTGTGTTTGGAAACTTGATACAATACTAGAGCAGTTCCATTTATGGATTGCAGCAACTGTAGTGCTCCACAACTCACTTCATCCTCCCTGAGTGTAAAGTGGGCAGTGCACACGGGATACAGAGTGGTGCTCTGTAGAGAATATGAATGTGGTGGTCACCTTGAATCCCCTGACACTGGAATGGATGGATTTCCTAGACTTTCCATCTCCTCTCCAGGAGGCTGTGGTACAGTCCCCAGATCTCTGCCTCCCAGGCAAGTTGTATCCTGGTCAGTCACTGCAATTGTGTTGCACCATGCCTGCTGGGGACTTCCAAGAGCAACCTGGTGTTTGTGGTGTGGTTGCCATGTACTTTTCCATGAATATGGTCTGCATATGGTTTAGATGTAATATGTATTCACCGTTACGATTTAGACCAAGCTTGGGGTCCCTTCTCTGTTGCACGAAGGTTTCCAAAGTATTTCCTTTACCTCACCCTCATTTTGGAGCCACTAACTAGATACTGAAAGAGAAATTATCCCCTGAGCCCTACAAGAAGAGATAACACAGAAGAAAAGAGGCAGGAACCCCAAGTCCCTTGACAGCCACAGGACATTGACTGAGCTACTGTTCTATTGCTGGGAAGAGGCGCTGTACTGAAGAGAATTTACAGAACAAAGCATTAAATGGGGAGCTTACTTTCAGTGTCAGAGGGTTAGTCCAGTACCATCACTGTGGGCAGCATGGCAGCAGGCAGCCTGGCAGGGCACTGTAGCAGAAACTGAGAGTTTACATCCTGATCACAGGCAGGAGGCAGAGGGCTTTTGAGTCATCAGAACTCACACCCAGTGACAAACCTCGTCCAATAGGGCCACACATCCTAATCTTTCTTAAACCATCCACCATTGGGATTGAAACATTCACCAAAAGAGGCGTATGGAGATCATCCTCATTCAAACTACCACCGTCCTATAAGGGATTTCCTCTGCCCCATCAAGCTGCAGAGGGAGAATTGTGGTTGGCTGAGTACTCATAAGTGCATAGACTAGAATCGGTTCCAAGATGTCAGTCATTAATAGAAGAGACTACTGTGTGACATTTGGGGAGAGCAGGAGGCCATTCAAGTTACTTGTCTGAAATAATGTGCTCTTCAGAAGACAGTAGTCCCCTTTTGGTTCTCTTCATGGATACTGAAACTGTATACTGAAACTGTAAAGGCCTTGAGCACACAGGAATTATACAAGATTTAGTGAACGTACACACACACACACACACACAAACATACATACACACACACACTTTCATCAGCCATGTCGTCAATTTATTTCTGTGAATTAGTAGTTTATGGTGGGCCAGGCATCATCATTCTAACCCCACATCTACATGTCTCACACAATTCCTTTTTCCCTTCTTTGATCTGCTCAAGTGGATTCCCATGGAAACCATTCAAAGAGACTGCCTTAAACTGTCTGGTCCACAAAGAAAAACAAATGCTGCCTTGGAAACCAAGGAAAATTTGGCCCATCCTTCCCATAGTGATAGCTATAAGGCCCCACCCTGCTCCTGGCTATATCTCCCTTACAGAGGGGAGGGAGGATAAACCTTGTGTGGTGTCTGTCTTGGAAGTTATCCTGGGTGCGGAATAGATTTTTTTCTGATTCTGCTTTCCATGTGATAGTGCAGTTAACATGTCTCCATACTTAACCAAGTATGGATGATCTATAAGAAAGCAATTTGTTTAAGGAGGACATTGAGGTTACACCAAGCACGTGACTTCCCTTTCCCACATTGTGGAACTAGAACCAGAGCTACAGGACACAGAGAGGAAGAGGAACCACGTCTTCAAAGACAAAGACAGGCAGAGGGTCTAGTCTGAGCATGTAACTCTCCTGATTTCAGGAAATGCTCACCACAGGTTTCTCACATAGCAGTCACCTCCTCTCAGCTCTCCCCGTGGGTAGTCTGAGAGCAAAAAGACACTCTTCTCCATTGCTGGAGAGAATGCAACTGTTCTCCAAGCCTATGGATGGATCTTATGCTAGTGAAAACCTCAAGCGTGCATTCTGGGGACCAGGGATCTTTCTTCTAAGGATCCATCCCAAAGAACACAGAAGGGGACACAAAGACTGTCAGAGCAACACTGTAGAACTCCAAGAGGAGAACTATGAAAATCGTCTGTGGGAAGGAAAGAGGGACAGCATGATCTCAGGTGTATCTAGGACTGCTTTCCTCTGCTTCCTGACAGTTTACCCATATAACACAATACTCCAAGATCCGTGGTAATCTCAGTG